TTAGAAGCAGGCACCTGCTCTAAAGCAGCAGCGGCCTCCTTCAGTTGCTCTGCCACTGTGTTGGTCATTGTGGTCGTTCAGAATGTCCCGATAGTCAGACCAGTTTCAACCAGTGTTCCAGCGGCACGCTTACAATATAATGCAATGCAGACGTGCACAGCGCCCCCTACCGAACAAGATGGGTAGCCCGGTCAGAAAGGACCTGAGGAAGAGCAGCTGCTGACGTCACTCTGCTGACCCCGCCCCTCAGAATGCTTTTTCATTTTCCAGTTATGGAGAGTACTTTACAGGAAAACCATGAAAACGAAAAAGCAATGGCCGCTGTGTTTTCTATTTGATTATGGCATAAAATGAGCAGTCTAAAGAAGAAAATGAAAATAGGATGATTGGTTACTAATTTCATTTATCAGTCAAACAATGCAACCACATTATTTAAATTTCTAGAAATGCTTTTTCATTTTCAAATTTTACATTTCAAATTGAATTTTGGTATGAATTTGCTGGGGTACATTTTGAAAAATAAAGCTCAAATGTCTTTATTTTTAATCAAGTAAAAGGATGAGCGGTGTTGAAGAAGAAAATGCAAACAGGATGACTGACTGATAATTTAATTTATGAGTCAAACAATGCAGCCACACTTTTAAAATGAAAAAGCATTTCTGGAAACTCTTTTTTATTTGAAATATGGTAACGATTTGCTTCCATAGTTGCGGGATGTACTTTTCTAGGGGGCTCCGCTCCGCTGCGCTGCTCTAATTTAGCAGAAGAAGAAGAGGAACCCGGAAGTGGCGGCGGATGAAGTTCAGCCGATGGAGCGGTTGTTGTGAGCGGGGAGGAAAATGTCCGGATTCAGCGCTGAACTCCTGGATTACCTGGAAGGAAGAATCACCTTCGAAGAGTTTGACAGGCGGAGAGATGAGCGGAACCCGGAGGTGAACCGAACCGGACCGAACCGCGGCTTTAGGTCCACATGGCTTCACTTGAACCGGGGAGCCATGAAATACTGAAAGGCAGAAATCAATCCGCTAGTTTTAATTCATTCTAGCAGCAGTCAGTCTCTGAATAAAGGGACAGTTTAGTGGAAGTTAGCAGCTGGACGTCAGTAACACACACATCAGGGCGCCATCTTGGGGAGGTCAGCAGCTCAGTGTGAGGAGCATTACGACTAATATTACGACTTTATTCTCTTAATATTACTTTAATATTACTACATTACATTACTGTATTATTAATATTTCAACTTTATTCACGTAATGACATCATTCTCATAATATAACGACTTTTTTCTTGTAATTTTAAGGCTGTATTCTTGTAATATTAGGACTTCATTCTTAAAATTAAAAAAAATTACTCTAGCCTGGCCCTAATACTCCGTTGTAAAATATGTGTATAATTATAAATACAGATAAAATTGTGTATCTCTTTATAACTGTTCTGTAAAAATGTTGTAAAATGCTGTAAAAATATCCACAGCCTAATTATTTATTCTTCAAATGCACAGTATTGTAAAAACAGTTTACAGTGCAGCATTTATCTTTATATTTATTTATATTAGTGAAGTTCTAGAGCTCTGATGTCATCAGCCTGTTAATTTAAACTAAACTCCGCTGCAGTGCTGAGGCATCCTTCTACTGTCCTGCTTAAAGCAGCAGATCGACCTCCCCAAGATGGCGCCCGTACTTCCTGCGTAACTCCAGTCAATGCGGGCTCTACTCTCAGATATGTCTCTGATGATTACAGGGACATTTCCCACCAGGACCTGTGAGGAATTTCCTAGCTTCTGGTTTCCTTTTCACAGTGCTACGGTACCAGCAGCTGCTGTTATCGCCATGGTAACGCGTGTTTATCACGAGGAACAGGTTGTTTGATCTCAGCGGACCAGAGTCACAGACAGTAACTGATAGGAAAGAGGAAAGCTTGGTGGAAGGAGGAGGTTTGCTGCCTAAGGTGTCCCTGTCCGTCCGTCCGTCCATCTGTCCCTGTCCTTCCTGTCTCTCTGTGTCTCAGCAGGAGTCAGAAGATCCTGCAGAGGAAGAAAACCAACCTTCCACCTCGGCTCAGACCACGGCAGCCATAGGTGAGGCGACCGCATCGCCGACGTTCCCCGAAGCTGAAGTCGGCTTCTGTTAACTTTTCCTACCCTCAGCTTCCTTAATCTACTCTAACTGAAAAACCACGACGCCTAGAAACGTCTAATCTGGATTAGATTATTCTAA